CATGTTTATATCTTTAGATCAGTTACTTTCAGCCATGGTAAGAGAAGATTCTGCTTCCAGTGGGAAATGGTTAGAAGAGACTTAGAATTGGTCAAGGTGCAGAGAGTAAGCTACTTGAGAGCCGAACCCTAAACTGAATATCCATATAACTACCTCAGGCTTAGGGAACGCTGTGGAAGGTGTGGAAGGAATGTGAGAGCCAGAAGTCAGGAAAGACTGCTATGAAACACAGTCTTTGTGGTTGCACCCATGAGCTCACAGCAGCGGTGGTTAACCCTGTACAAGACTGAGCCCATCAAAATTCCATCACCAACTGGGGAGGGGCTTTTGAAACCCCACGCCTCCCTGAGGAATGATGCCACTGGTTACAGGCAAAAAGGGAATCACATTTTAAGGTGGCATGGCCACCTTAAGTTCTCCTTCCTCAAGTAAATAGTCCCCCCACCCATGTTCATACAAGGAATCCCAATTAAAAGCAGTAGGTCTCTCTCTCACACACACACACACACACACACACACACACACACACACACACACCACATTAACATAGGAAGATCTGTTGAGAAGATAAAGGGGATTGAATATGGAGAGAAGGGGTTAAGAAGACCACAGAAGAGTATATGATCAGAGTACAATATACACATGTACACACACGAAACTGTGACCAAAATTTCAAATGTTTATTAAAAAAAAAAAAAAGAAGTGAAACCTAGTTCTTTTTAAAATCTCAAATGTGCTAGAGACTGTTATAAGTACAGTTTTTATCTTCCCTAAATTCCTTATAGTGGTCCCATCTCCTGGTACCTCAGAATGTGACTACTATGGGACTTTCTTGTGTCTTTTCCACATTCATGTACATGGAGATGGGGCCTTCGGGAGGTATTTAAATGATGCCATTAGAGTGGGACCCTGACATGGGCAGTGCCCTTGGAGGAGACACCAGGTAGCTAAGTGATGTCTTTTCTCTCTCTCAGTAAGGAACTGTCTATCTGCAAGGCAGGAAGGGAGCGCTCACCAGAACCCAAACATGCAGGCACTCTGATTTGTGACTGCTAATCTTCAGAATTGTAAGAAGAAAATGATTCTTGTGGTTCAGGTCACCTGATCTACAGTATTCAGCTACAGAAGCCTGAGCTGACTAGTACAGAAACCTTATGTGGAGACTGTCCTTGCATGTATAATAGAGTAGGGCTGAATCCACAGTGGCTGGTGTTCTCATAAAAGGGGGAGGAGGCATTCAAAGAGGCGAATAAGTGCAGAGGGAAGATGATGGGAGTACGAACAGGGACAAGACAGCCATGCAAAAGGCAAGGAAAGAGGCCAGGACCAGGAAGATCCTCCTTTCAAGGCCTCAGAAAGACTCAACTGTGCTGACATCCTGTCTCTAGGCCTGAAACAACACAGTTGTGAGGTTGGCTAGCTTGTGCCATCTGTTCATACCAGCAAACTAACACCACCTTGAAAATGGGGTGGTCATCTTCCTGTTAGGAAACAGAACATGGGAGACCCTTTCATGTTCTGGAAAAGTCAGATGTGTGTTACAGTCTGATAAATGATATATTATGTGCAACTCCCCCGTTTTAATAAACAGATGATAAAGTTCTAGGAATGAAAAACTATACTCTATAGCATCCAAAGCCATGGATTTACTAGCTATTCTTTCCTGTTACATATTTGAATGTTTAATATTTATAGCTTATATGAAATATTGTTACTTTGCTTAATTTAGGAAAAAACTAACACTTCTATGGACATTAATATTTTGAGAGAATAGTCAATATGCTCTCTTTTAAAGTAATACCAGATGTCTACATGAATTGAGATCCTGGCTGATAAAATACATCATTTCAATGTAAACTAAACTGAACACATCAGAAAACTTCAAAATAATATTGTTTAAACATTTTGTAGTTTATGGTATTGAAAATATTAAGTTTAAGCATTTGGGCTTCAGTTACAAAAGAAAGACTATAGGAGCAAGCCCATGGTCCTGACACAATGTCCCTGGCAATGGCGGTGGAGTGCAGGAGGCTGGATGGGAGGAAAGCCACAGGCTCTCAATTTCAGAGCCCAGTAATAACCCACGGAAACCCACTCTGTTGTCATGGTGCTCCATCCCTGCTTAAACAAGGCCCCAGGCTCTGCTCAGCAAAGGGGTACTCCACCTAAACCCTTGTTACTCACTCATCTTTATAGTCATACTATCACATCATGTCTGGGATCAGAGAAGCATACACATTTCTAGGTAGAAGCAGGGAAATCAGTAGTCATAAATGGAATCATGGTTAAGTTGCCCAAGCTTCATGTAGCTCACAAAATCTACTTTATTTTAGCAATTCCTATAATGAGAAAAGAGTCTATTAGTAGTGGGCATCGGGAACATGCTGGCCCAGCTTTGTCTGTGTATTTAGGAGATGTCCTCTAGGAAACTGTATGGCAATGATGCATGAGGATTTCTAACTGCAGCTGGACGAGTAAATAAGAGTTTTCTAAGACAAGCTGCTAAAATGAAGGTCACTTGCTAAAGACTCAATAAAGTAAGAAGGGCAAGTCCCTAAGCTATGATAATAACAACACCAGGACTCACTGCCCTGTGCTCTTCATGTAGATGTGACTGATTCCTCACAACAATGGGGCTCAGAACATACCATCCTCATTCTAGAGATGGTCAACTGTTTGTCCCAGATCTACCTCTCAGGTGGAGGAGTTAGAAGCAGGGCTGTGCACTCCACCATGTCATGCTTCTGTACTCATAGATGGGTCTACTTAGTTAACCTAATCCCAGTACTAATTCCCTGTCCTCTTTAACTTGAATGCAATCCCATTAGGTTTGGTTATGTAATCACCTAATATTAGAAATAATATGTGATGTACACATACACATACATAAATACATATAGTTTATGTGTTGCTATTGGTTTGGTTCATGATTCCTTCCTCAGAAGTTTCTTCCCAAGGCAAACCAAAAATATGCTGTTCTTCCTCCTGCTTTTCTGTCTTAGAGCTGGCCATAAAACATTGATCTGATCTTGTCCCACAGTAGTCCCCAAAGTCTTAACACCCTCCCCATTCCAGAAGGATCCTGCACATTTCCTAGAGGGAAGAACAACACATACACAGAGAGGCCAGAGAGAATGCTTTAGAAAGATACTCCCCACTGGGTTCCCACGCCAGGTCTACTAGTAATCAGACCACATAGCGAAGTTTCCATAAAAACCCTCCGGACAAGTGCAGGGGTTTTCAGATAGTTGAAAGCATGGGAATTGTAGGAGGGTGGCATACCCAGGCAGAGGGCAGGACACTCCACACTTCTTCCCCAGGCCTCTTCTGAGTATCCTGCATATGCACCCTTTGTGATGGCCTTTACAACAGGTTGGTTTAAATATTTCCCTGGGTTCTCTGAGTTGCTCAGGTAAATTATCTGAACCCAAAGAAGGGACTCTGGGAGCCCCAGTGTGTACGCTGGTTAGAAGCACAGGTAAAGTTAGCTGGCGCTTGTGAGTAGGACCTAGATGGGGTGTACAGCCTGGGGGTCTGAGCCTCAGCCTGTGAGATCTGCTACCATGTCCAGGTAGACAGTGTCAGACAACTGGTGCCACGTGTGGAAAACACTCAAGCACTACATGGTGTATATAGTAAAAACAAACTGGACAAGTTTGAACTGGGGCCTTGTTTGTTTTTCCCAGAACAAGCATGAAACTGAAAAGATTCAAAGTAGAGCTTCTGTATGCAGAAACATCAAAAAAATACAAAAATGTTGAAATAGGAACCTAAAGCATAACAAATAGGATTATATTCAGGGCAAGGAAAAACTAGGCACAGCTTGGGAAAGGAAAGGCAGAGACACAGAGGAGGCAGCTCCATTTGCTGAGTAACTATCACATGCCAGGTGTTTGCCTCCCTCATCTGCTAATCCCAAGTATGGCCAACTATGCAGACTCTTCTGTCCCCATTCTGGGGCTCAGGGAAGCCTGGCAAGCTGGCCATAGATTAAGAAAAAAAAAAAAACAGGGCCAGGGGTACTGAGTCTTGCCTAGAATACCCACAAGGCTGTGCGCTTCATTCCCAAGACCTTGGAGAAAGGAAAGAAGCAGAACTTAGGCTGGATGCGGTGGTACATGCCTGCAATTCCAGCATTTTGGAAGCAGAAGTAGGAGGAAAAGGCTATTCTCTGATATACAGCTAGATACATGCTGGCCTGGACTGTATGAGACTCTGTCTTAAAAAAAAAAAAAAAAATCTAATGTGAAACCCAGCCAAGGCCAGGCGCATGGGGATTTTCCAGTGCTCCACTACCTCTCACTGTCCACCATGCTTTCTCTAAATGACAGTATCGGCTCTGGATGTTACTTAGAGAACATTCTTCATGAATTCAATGCATTTTGCCAAGAAATGCAGAGTGGCATGGGAATGCTGGTGGAAGTGTTAGGTTCAGAACAGAAACAAGCGTGTGTGCAGTGTGGCCACACACTTCCGGTTATGCCAGGTGAACACAAGGGCTGAGCTCTCCATGTACAAAGGCTGTCCCCAACCCCTTGCACCTGGGGTCGAGCTGGGATCATGAGCTGTTCCAAACAACATGCTCACCTGTGTGTGTGCTCTGTACATGTCCCAAGGCGTAACTAAGGAGGGCAGCCGGGCTTTCTTGCAGTAGTGAAAATGAGCAGACTTCATTTAGTCCAGTGGCTCTCAGCCTTCCTAATGCTGCGACCTCATTCTGTTGTGACCCCCAATCATAAAATTATTTTCATTGCTACTTCATAACTGTAATTTTGCTACTGTCATGAACAGTAATGTAAATATCTGTTTTCCAATGGTCTTAGGTGACCCTGGTGAAAAGGTCGTTCAACCCAGCCAAAGGGGGTGTGACCCACAGGTTGACAACAGCTGATTTAGCCCCTTCAAGCTGCAGACTTGCCACCCCTCCCATGTTGACTCCCTCACTCCCACCTTGCACCCCGCCCAGGTGTAAACCCTAGTGCCCACTTGGGCTTGATTACCCCTGGTGCAGGCCTGCCATCGGCGTCTCTCTCAAGGGGAAGAGCTTGGGATAGACGAAGGTAAACATGGGCTCACTACACCGGTGACAGTGCCCCAGGGGGCAATGCAGCAGCTCCAAGAGACTTCTGGGTAATGAGATTGGAGACAAAAAGTTCAGATCTGGAACACAAGAGAAAAATCCCATTTCCTTAAACTACACATTTGAAAATAATTCCCTTTGTTACCAAATAAGTTCAAATAGTTAAAAGTAAAGTACTTCATGTTGGAAATTCTGTTATCTGATAGGTAGGTATTCAATAAAAATCTAACATTATTAGGAAATGAAAGATTTTTTTTTTATATTTTTGATACTAAGGCAAAATGAAAATCCACTCTTTTAAGAGCAGCTAGAAGCTGTCCTGAGGCAGAGGCAAGGAAAGAATTAGATCAAATAGTCTTTAGGAACAAGGATCAAAAAGGCATCCGTCTACTCAGAGCAGGTTTTGCAGGCTTTCATAAGTCAGAGAATTGAAGGAGGATGGTCTGAAGGCACTCACCAACTCCCATTAAGTTCTTCCTGAAGCTATCAGGCCTTTGGTCAATTAAATGTCAATGAAAGCTAAGTTATGAAAAGGCTAATTATTGAAAACTATCAGATGCTGGAAGTCAAAGAGATGAATGAAAAATCAGGAAGCCAAGCTTTTCTTTGTTTCATTCTCATGAACAGAAACAGTGAACTCTCCTCCCCAGCCTAGTGTGAGCCACAAAGGACATGTCTAAGCCAACCATCTCAGCCACCTGGGCCACCTTGACCCAGGTTTACATAGCATTTAATATTCACGTTAAATGTTCAATGGAGGGAGGGATGCTCAAAATGAGGGGAAATCTAGAGTTTACCAGCAAGGAAACAGAAACTGCCTCTCTGGCCTTTTATATCTGCCCAGAACACACAATATCCACTTAGAAAACTGTAATTTATATAGAAGTACATAACTGAAAATTTCCTGTTCAGTATAAGAAAAAAAGATAAAGTAAAAAACATGTTACTGACCAGCAATATGGCTTAGTAGGGATGGGTGATTGCCACCAAGCCTGAAGACCTAAGTTTGATCTCTGGAACACACATGATAGGAGAAGAGAACTAACTCCTCCAAGTTACCTTCTGATCTGCACATGTACACACATGTACACACACACACACACACCACTCCATAAATACAGTTTTAAAACAACTTAGTTCTGAACTAACTAGATATTTCTATAAGGGTAAGTTGTTTTCGTTCAACTCCATTTAGCAACTTTAACATATGACATAAGGTTGGCTCAGTAGTTAAGAGCACCTGACACTCCAAGAGTGGACCCATATCAAGTGTGGGGGAATGTAACGCCCTGTTCTGTCCTCAATGGGAACCCCTTACCCCATATATGTACTTACACACAGATACACACATACATAAAAAATTTTAAATATGAAATATATTTTCTTAAGATTGTTCTGGCCGTTTGTTTATTCATGTTTGCTTCCTTTTCTCCCTCCCTTTCTGTTGGCAATGGAACTGGTCTCAGCATTGTACATGCTTTAACTACTGAGCCGTGTCCCCAGGCCCATCCAGTCCTTTCTAGAGGCAACTCAGATATGTGCCAACAACACCTCTACATACAGCAAGGCCCTTTCCAAAACAAGCACTAGCCTGCTTGATAACGCTGCCAAAGGCTTCTTGTTACATTTGCTGGAAACTAGGAAACAGAAAGGCAAGGCTAGCTCTTCAGGAGGAGATATTCACTTATGTTTTTCCCTACCACAAGCCTCTCACGTCAACCAAACACACCCGCACAACCCAGTTTCTCCAACTTAAATCGGTTTCTCTGGGAACTGCTGCCCTTTGCAATGAAAACCACATTTTAGTGAATGCTTCTGTGTGTCTGCAGGGGCTGCCAAAGGGACCAGTGCTGCAAATAAGAAAAGCACATATGACCATGGGACAAGCTGCATGAGAGGCTGAGACAGGGAGACCACTAATACACTAATACCAGGGAGCTACACACTAGGTTAAAATGGTCGCTTTAGTGTGAAATGTGTACGAGGTCATGATAACAACAACAAAATGTAAGATGGAAACCAAAACAGGATAAAAACCAAGTGTTTGTTTCCTGACTGAGACAGAAGAGAAGGCCCATGTACGTACCTTTCAGAAACCTGTGGTAGGTGTGGTAGAGACTCCGCATGGCCAGCTCCTGCAGAGGCAGGACATGGTCATCCTCTGTACCAATGGCTTTCACCTCAGCTGGGAGGAAGACAGTCAGCTGCCCAGATGAAAAGGACAGCAGCTTCACCTCAGACACCTGGATGGTGACACCACAGCTGCATAAAGACACAACATGGTGGTGTCAGCCATGACATACAGCTGTGGGCCAGTTCACAAGGTGATCACAATGTGTATGGGACAATTCACAGCAGCTGAGCTGGCAGCTTCTTTTCAAATGAGCAGATGCTGACCCAGGCTCTTGACTCAATCCTGGCTCAGAGACAGCAGCTGGAGTGTGGCTACGTTACTTCTGTAAGGCCGCCTCCGCAGTAGCCTTCCTCAGAGGATCTGGGAAGCTTGCTGTGTAAGCTCTGCTTTCCCTCATTTTACTACCCTTTCTAAGTTTATGTTGCCCGAAGCTTTCAGGTTAATTTTGTTTTCTTGAGACAGTCTCACAGTACAGGGAGTTCACTACATCAATGAGGCTGGCCTTGAACTTGCAGAGATCCTCCGCTTCTGCCTCCTAAGTGCTGGGGTTAAGGGCTACACTACCATGCCAGGCTTTCAGGAGTGGAGGAAGAGCTGGACAGATGTCTAAGCAGGTAAAGTGCTTGCTCTGCAAGCCTCATAACCCGGGTCTGAATGCTCAGAAAAGCCAGGCACAGGAACACTGACATCGTAACCCAAGTGTGTCTCTACCAAGAGATGGGAGATGGGGATAGTGGGCTCACTGGGAGACTGCAGGCCAGCCTGGCTATGAAGCAGCGACAAGACTGACCCTATCTCAAACAGGGTGGAAGGTGACATTAGAAGTTGTCCTCAGACCTCCACATATGCCGTGGTACACAACCATCCTATCTCCACAGCAGAGGTGGGTGGTGGATGGGAAGCCATGTTCTTTTTCCTGCTCTCTGCTGCAGAGTTGCTTCAACCTAACCCCTAACTTTGTGACCATTAGGCACCTGAAAGCCTCAATTCCTTTCTTCTCCAATGGCAAAAGTTAACAAAGGCGGTCCTCTGAATGCCACTGTCCTAGTTAGTTTCAGCTGTCAACTTTACATTACCTAGAGTCACCTGAGGGAACTCAAATTAAGAACAGCTCAGATCAGAGTGGCCTGTGGCCAGGTCTGTGAAAGAGTGTCTTAATTGATGACTCATGTGGGAGGGACTGGCCCACTGTAGGGTGGTCCTGGGCAGTGTAAAAAGGCTAGCTGAGCAGGAGGCAGTGAGCAAGCCAATACACAGCATTCCTCCATAGCTTAGTTTCTGTTCTGACTTCCCTCAATGAAGAGATTCTATCTAGAAGTATAAGACAAATCAACCCCTTTCTCCATAAGTTGCTTTTGGTCAGTGTTTTTATCGCAGCAGCAGGAAAGCTAACTAGAGTAACTACTAAGTCAGTGTCTTTGACTTTGGCCAGAGAAGAGGAGGACACACTGGGCACAGGACTGGAAGGCAGAAGCCCTGGGTTCCTTTGTTCATTACAAAATTATTCCTTTATCCCACTGGAAAGCAGCTATACAGCACAGTTACACAGCAATCCTCCTACAGCAGGGGCAGAGGAGGAGCTGAATGAATCTGTGCACGGGACTTTTGGGGGTGGATTCAGAGGGGTTCACTTTGACTTCCAGCTTCCAGTTTCGGCAGGAATGAAGGCTGGCAGACTAGAAAGCCACATGGAATGAAGAGTAGCTTGACAGCAGTATCGCAGCCCGAAAACTAAGGATGCTCATGGGTTTCAGAGGCTGGAAAAAGGGAGGTGGGAGGGTGGACCAGAAATGTAAGCTTTAATTCATGGCAAACACCATTGGGTATCTCTTTATGAATTGTCTGACGACATGGACAGAGATTACACATGATTATAAAGAGGCAAAGAAAACTAAAGACACAAAAGGAAACAGGCCCTAGGAAGTTATCAAAGTCTAGACAAAGAGATGGGACAAGAAGGGGTATGGAATAGCTAGTTGGGTAAGAAACCAGTGGTCTTCTCAGCAAGTGGTAAAAGCAAATAATTCATATTTTCTAACTACTGATAATTGGGGGGGGATCTGATATATTTTAAAGAGAAGTTATATAACATTTTAAGAGGCAGAGAAACATGAGATGGACTGGACTATTTCCACTTAGTGACTTCTCTTTCCAAACAGTTGGCTTTGTTCATCTGGTCTCATGAGCTCTAGTATTTTAGCCAGGAATCTCTTTTAAAATGTTATTTCAAAATAATCTAATACTATAAATTCAAATTGTAAAATTAACATAACCTATTGCCATGAGTCAAGCGATATAAAAAAAGTGGAGAAAAAGTGAATGATTTTTTTTCCCAGGCTTCCATCTTCAAACCCTAACCCTCCAGTGTCTAAGTCAGTCCCTGTGCTGTCTTAGTGGTCTTCAGTTTTTACTCTATATGCTCGTGGAGGGAAAAAGCAGTGATACAGCCTTTCTTTTGCTCCTCCCACACCTTAATCAAATAAGCTCACACAATACTATAATGCTCCACCCTTCACATGATCGTGTGGGCCATCAAGCCAGGACTAGAGAAATCATTTAAAGTCATGGAGTGTCCAGCTTGTGACTGGAGCATTGTTTACTATGTTCATCTCAGGTTTTTCAGGTTTCCCTCCTATCATCACACACGCCACAATAAAAGTAACACATCCTGTGCATAGACATTTTCATTACTGAAGATAATATTCCCCAAATGGAAACGTGTAGCCATGGAAACAAAGATGTAAATACCGAGAGGTTCTACACTGTACCATCCAAAGATTGGACGCTAGTACTTGCTACCATAATCATAACTGAGTTACCAATCACTTCAGTCCTTGGCAGGCTTGACTGATGAAAATCAATAGCTTCGTTTCTGAGTTTATCACCTTTGGAGATGTTTGCTGGTCATTCACATCTCCTCTTCTGTGACCTACCCAGTCACACTTTTTGCTTAATGCTCAGTTAAATTTAAAAAAAAAATCAATTCTTAGAACCTTTTGTATTGCAAATCTTTGTCACACACAATAAAATATTTCCATCTGGTCACTTTTGGAGATGGTGCCTCTCCCTACCCTGGAGTCTCTCCCCTGCTGTTCCATGCATCCCCTATTTCCTGCACGCAGAAGTCCCTCCCCTTTTCCTTCGCAGCATCTAACTCTTCTGATTATCAGGAGGGTTGTCCCACCATTTCTTCCAGTTACTTACCACATTATTTTACATGTAGGTACACTTTATCTTTTGTGTGTGTGTCCATGATATAAAACAGAACAAACTGTAGCACTATCAAATAAAACAAATGTTCACCTCTGAATTGGAATGCTGTCTTCACCACATTACATTTCCAACCAAGCACTTTTTAATTTGCTTAAGGAATTTCTGATCTGTTTCAGTGCTGTGTTTGGTTAATCCATTGTCAGTCCTACACGGTTCTCATTAACTCACTTCACCCCATGGTCTGACAGCTGATCTGCCTGCCTGCAGGATCCTTCTAAGATTCTTTTTATTGTAACTCTCAGTTGCTTATTATTGGCCTTGAACTTTACACTAGTTTTATCTGGACAGCTCCCAAACTTTTCCTTGGATACAATTCTTTCAACATGAAGTACTGTATTGATTGTTGGTTTTCCCAGATCTATTTTACCAGATGAAGACCGACCGCCTCCCTCCAATTTGCTGGCAGGTTTTTTTTTTTTTTTTTTTTTTTTTGCTTGTTCATCTTTTGAGTTAAAATGTCTGCTTCCTTTCCTAGTGAAAAGGCTGCTGACTATTAAAGGGAGCTGTGATGGTCAATGCCGACTGCCAACTTGACATGATCTAGGATCTCTTGGAGACAAAACTCTGGGTGTGTCTGTGACAGCTGAAGTGGGAGGACCTGTCCTATGTGTGAGAGCACCATGCTATGGGCTGCTCTGCTGCCTTGGCCTCCCTGTGGTGACCAACTGTGTGCCCACAAACTGTAAGCCAAAACAAACCCTTCCTCCTTTTAGTTGCCTCTTGTTAGATATTTTGTAACCAAAACAGCAAAAGAGAAAACAACCAAGCAACCAACCAAATAAACGAACAACAGTAACAACAACAAAAAACCCTCCAACCCAGGGGTGTGGAAGAAACCAGGGCAGAAAGCAAGCACTCCCTTTAGATTACAGGGACCATGAAAAAAAGGAAACCACAGGAAAACCTGCAACTGTTGTTCTTGGGATGAGGAGTTAGGTTAAGAGGGCTGAGTACTACAATGTTTCCTGTGTGGGGGGGACCCAACAGAAAGAGGCTGCCATGTGTAAGGAAAACAATGACTTGGGAAAATAACAGCCATCTGTCAAGCGGAATTTTGGCAAATGTCTTATTCTTTTGAGGCAACCTGGCAAGGGCATGGTGCCCGGGTATTGAGTCAAACACCAGGTTAGATGTCCTTGTGGAGATATTTTTAGATAGGATTAACATTTATATTAGTAGGCCATGAGTAAAACACATCACCCATTGGAGATCAGGTGAAGGCCAAAGAACAAAGATGGAGTTCTCCACAGGAAGGAAACTCTGCCCTTCCCTACAGATCCTGAGAAGTGTTCATGACTCTGGGAACTGAACCCTGACAAATTTATGTGGTAAGATAATATTACCTATGCCTAAACTTTAGATTTTCTTTCACATTTTTTAGTGGGATAGGCATTTATGGATTTCTCTAGGTGACATTGAGGATCACCTCAGAGACCCAATATCATAAACAGCCACCATAGGGTCATTTTTATACAGTATAAAATAGACTTGACCTGGGCAGGACCGATCTGACTTGTAGCTTGAAGGATGTGTTTATGTCCACACTGAACTTTACATTAACACTGAATAATGTGAACCCTGAGCAGAAAAGAAAACAATACAAATGTGGAGTGAAAAACATATTAAAAAATTGGCTTCCAGTTTGTGATCCTCTCCTGATTAGCTCCCCGAGTGCTGGGATTACAGTACATCATTCCTGGACATTTACTTCACATCATTGCTCCTGTAACAGATGTTGCTTCCTAGTGCAATCCAAGTGCTTCTGCATGGACAATGCCCAGTAATAACTAAAGGGTCAGGAGACTGACAGCCAGGCTTTCTTAGGGTTCTTACTGTCCCTTGCAATTATAATGAC